TCTGTGGCTGCTCTGATCCTTCCCCCACTCAGTCTCGCCCAAGATGGCTGCTCAAGGAGCAGCTGAGCATTGTGGATTAGAAAGCACTGGATTTCTTGATTCTGCTACAAATTCCACTGGCTGTAAGACTTCCAGCTTTCTAAATATTCCTTTATGTGTGGTTCAGAGTTCTGGGACCATTCCCTGAGCCTGCTTGCTCTGGTATTCTGTGTTGTTGCTGATGGAGGTCCTCATTGCACTTGTACACTCTCCGCCATCTTGTTTGTTCTCCTCTTTCCCTATCTTTTTAATGACTCTTTGTGTTCTTCATATTTGCTGTTCTTGATGTCATCCCACAGCTATTCTGGTCTTCGATCATTAATATCTAGTGTAGCAAATCTTTTCTTGAGATGGTCTCTAAATTTATGTGGGATATACGCAAGGTCATATTTTCGTTCTTATGGACTGAATTTTATTCAGTTTCAGCCTGAACTTGCATATGAGTATTTGATGATCTGTTCCACAGTCTGTCTCTGGTCTGATTTTGGCTGCTGATATTGAAGTTCTACATCTTCTCTTCCCACTGATGTAGTTAATTCGATTCCTGTGTATTCTATCTGGTGAGGTCCAGGTGTGTATAGCCACTGCTTATGTTGTTGAAAAAAATGTATGCATGAATTAATCAAACAAAATTCCATCATGCCATCTCCAGCAATATTTCTATCACCAAAGTCATATTTTCCAACTACTTTGTTTCCTTCCTCTTTGTTTCCAACTTTTGCATTCTAATCACCAGTATTTAGCAATGCATCTTGATTACATGTTGATCGATTTCAGATTGAAAAAGTTGATAAAGTTCTTCAGTTTCATCATCACTGGCTTTAGTGGTTGGTGCATAAATGTGAATAATATTGGTACTAACTGGTCTTCTTTGTAGGCATATGGTATTATCCTATTACAGACAGCATTGTATTTCAAGATAGATCTTGAAATGTTTTTTGACAATGAATGCAAATCATTTGTTTTGAACTTGTTCCTAGCATAGTAAACCATATGATTGTCAGTTTCATAATGGTCAACACCAGTCCATTTCACCTTACTAATGCCTAGGATATCGATGTTTATGTGTTACATTTCATTTTTGACAACTTCCAATCTTCCTAGATTCATGCTTCTTACATTCCACTTATTAATGTTTATTTGCAACTGTTTCTCCTTATTTTGAGTTGTGCTTCATGATCAAATCAAGTTGCATCCCATCCATGTCATTAAGGTCAGCTCTACTTTGAGGAGGCAGCTCTCCCCTACTTGTATTTTGAGTACCTTCCAACCTGAGGGGTTCATTTTCTGGCACTATATCCTACAATGTCCCACTGCTATTCATAAGATTTTCTGGGCTAACTATTTGGAAATTGTCCACCTCTCCTTCTTCCTAGTTTGTATTGGTGTGAAAGCTCCGCTAAAACCTGTCCACTATGGATGACCCTGCTGGTATTTAAAATACGGTGGCATAGCTTCCTTCATCACAGCAACACATAAGCCACCACAAGACTACAAAGTGGCAGATGCAAGGTGGCATGAACAGTCCCCAAAATGAATTTGCATGAGGCAGTGTGAATACCCTTCTTTTGAGGCAAAGCTCTGTCTTCTCTGAGAACTATTCCAATTTTTGACTCATTAGATTTTTGGACAAGCGAATTCCACACTGAAACGGTGGATGTTGGACTTTGCTTACAAGAGGAAAGAAGCAGAGCTTCGCAGTGGCATCATTAGAAACAACAGCCTATGGGATAAACTCATCTTCCACAAAATACAGGTAGCAAATGAACTCACAACTACTATTATTTAGCTAAACTGATTAAGGTTTAAAATTTTCTATAATGACATATGTATATATGTAAATATGTATGTATTTTAGAAGTAGTAGAGATGAGAGAATGAACTTTTTTTTATTAATTCTGGCACATTTCTAAAACTGAAGTACAAAGCCACATTTATCTCTATGGCTAAGATAAACCCAAACAGTATTGTAGCTATCTAGCATATTATACTGTTAGGATTTCTCTCATTTGTTCAGCTATTCTAGAATAAGTATGTCAGAAGTTGTTGCTCTTGGGGTAATTTTTTAGACATCATGTTCCCCACCACCAAAAAAAAAAAAGGCAAAATCGTGGTGGTTGCCACAAATCCACCACAGTCTTATTCTACAAGGGGGCTTCAAAAAGTTTGCGGGAAATGGAATTAAAGATAACAGAATTTTTCCACAAACTTTTTGAAGCCTGCTTATAGAGGTGGTTTATTTCCTCACCCTTTGAGGATGAATGGAGCAATTATGGGTAGAAACAAACTCCAATTCAGTATCAGTGCACTATGGAAAGTGAGTTCTGTGCAGCTGTCAGGGAATGCTGGAAGGGATTAGAGCACCCTCCTTCCACTGAGGAGGCCACCGACTTCTAGACACTAACACACGTTTTATCTCTTCTCTCCCTCCCTTGTAAGTCGAGCCTGGGAGGAAAAGTCAGGTTGATGATCACAGGAGCTGCGCCAGTGTCTGCCACAGTGCTGACGTTTCTAAGAGCAGCACTCGGCTGTCAGGTGAGGTGGGACTTCCTGTCAGACTTCATAATGCTAAGTCTCCTTTATGAAAAGTTGGGTATTTTTATTCTCTTTGTATGTGCCTCGTTTTTCTTTGGAAGTTCATGTGATTTCTAAGATTGCTTGGAGAAATAAGGATATAAGTTTTACCCTAGGCTAAAAGCATCTGTATGGAGTCCTGGTGTAGCACTGTAGGTTAATGCGTCAAGACTGCAAAGCCATTTGAACTGCAAGATCGGTGGTTTAAGCTCACCAGCTGCTCCTCAGAAACCTTATATAGGGTCGCTATGGGTCGTAACCGACTTGACGGCACTTAACAAGAACACAAAAGCATCTGTATTTAGGCCCACGTTTTGTATAATTTTCTCCCAAGTAAGGTACAGAGGTAACATTTAGAATCAGGCACAGGAGTATAGGAATGGATCACAAGTGAAAAACCCGCCTGGAAACCATGCCAAAAGCATCTGTTCCGGGGGCCAGAAGACAGCAGAGACTTGTTGACAGATAGAACCAGAATCTGACAAAGCAAGTGCCTTCCGGGGTGGGCAGTTCACAGAGTGACCTGTAACACAGGTGTTCTCATTTGCTGTCCACGGGAAGCTAAGTAGAAAATGAATGTGGACCATGGCTGGTGTATGGCATGGGAGTGAAGATCTTTGGGTGCCATAGGAAAGAGTGACTTAGTAGTGAATGAACTTATTAATAGAAAATTCAAAGCACTTTCTCCCCAGTCAGCCATTAGTTAGGAGTCGTTGTTGTTGTTAAGGTCCATCGAGTTGGTTCCAACCCATAATGACCCTGTATAGGGTTTCCAAGGAGTGGCTGGTGGGCTTGAACCGCCAACTTTGTGGTTAGCAGCCCAGTGCTTATCCTACAGTACAACACCAGGAACTTAATTACTTTTGCACTTGCAGCAAAGATGTGACTGTCCCCCCTTTAATTATGTCTCATCTGTTGGTGGCCCAGTTTTATGAAGGCTATGGACAGACAGAGTGTACTGCTGGCTGCTGCCTGACTATGCCTGGAGACTGGACTGCAGGTACGATTGGCAGAAGATCCCTTTGGGGAACTGGGTTATTGGGATTGTGGCGTTAGAATTATGGACATTGGATTTATCACCAATGGATTTATTAATCTGCTGAAATAAGTGCTACTTCGTCTATAATTGCACAATTCTCAGCAGTTGTGCTGTGGAAAGTCTGAGCTCTGTGCAGTTATCAGGGGAGGGCGTAGGGGATTAGGGTACAGGGATTCTAAGTAGATACCTTCAAATTACAAGACTTTGAGGCAGACAAGTTCGGAAAGCAGGAAGCTGTTTGAAACAGCTCTTATGGCACCATGTGGTCTTAAGCAGGTAGTAGAGATTTGCCTTTTATATCAGATTTGGAAAAGCTAGCCCAACAGATCTTTCCAAGAGTTGATTAGATAAATAGATGTAATTGGTCTAATTACTTGTATTAAATTATTTGTAATCATTAAATTATGTATGTTCAAGACCCAGATACTTAATAAATTTACAGTTGTACTAATAGCTTGTGCCAAGTTGGGATTACAGATCTAAATCACATTGGTTGTTTTCCCCAAAAGGAAAAATTGGGAAGGCAAACCCAAAAATAATTCATTGAGCAACTGTCATAGATAAGGTTCTCTGTTCGGTGGTTAAGATGTGGGCTCTGTGAGTTTAATCCCCAGGGCATCCTGCTGAAATGGGAGGTAACACTAGATTGTTGTTTAAATAGCATGAGAATAATGTATGAGAATTTACACAGCATTATGCGTTGAAACCAGGATTCCAGCCCGGGTGTGATTGCCAAACCTCTGTGCCACACTTGAGAATGCACTTTACACTGGGATGGATGAACTTCCCTGATTTGTATGGCATATTGTAAATATCACCACTGTCTAGGAAGATAGGTAGATTTTTGGTTCTCTTGAACATTCTGTGAATCTTCTTCATGGTGTTTATTTCATCTTTAACCCCAAGTTCCTGAACAACTAGAGAATTTAAAATAGTAGTCTCAAAAAGTTAAAATTACTAAAGCATTGGAAGGACTCATGGTAAAGCTCCTATGCTGACTCATGGCGACCCTATAGGATAAAGTAGAACTGTCACGCAAGGTTCTCCCAAGACTATAAATGTTTATGAAAGCAGATTGCTGCAAATTTTTGGTGGTTTTGAACTGCCAACCTTTTGGTTAACAGTCCAACCACCTTGTCTTAAAATGCATCTTATTCCTGCTTATAGTGTTTTTGGAAAAGATAACACCCTTTGACGAAAGAGCTAAGTTAGTAAGCACTCTCCTATCTTAAAAAGCTTAAATATAAAACATGTCTACCCATACTGATCCATCAGTGAAGGACTTAATTTGTGTTGAGTCAAGAATAATCAAGGTTTGCCAAAGAGACCTATGTTCTCTCTTCTTGTGGAGAATAGAGACAGTAAGAAGTCTGTGTGAGGGAGGGAGGGAGGAGTAGTTAACAAGGAGTAACAAATAGCAGGCAGGGGCCCTCAGACCACTGCAGCCAGGTAAAAGTTTTTAGAAGCCCCCCCCCCCCAGTGAGATGGATTGGCAAAGTGGCAGCATCAATGGACTCAAGCATGGCAACAATTGTGAGGTTGGCCTAGGATCGGGCAGTGTTTCATTCTGTTGTGCATAGGGTCACTATGAGTCGGTACCAACTCGATGGCACCTAACAACAACAAAGACAATTCCACAATTAACTTCCTTTTTAAAACATAATGAATCAGGGACTTTAGACACAGAGAGGGAGAGGGGCTATGTGCTGATGACTGGGGACAGCCTTGTAGTGTATACCCTTTGGTTGGTTGATGATGCATGGATGGGATTGTAACCATGGCAATGAAACGATATATGATAGGATGAATGTAAAACTAATGTTCTCCCATGTAAACTATCACATAATTAACAATAAAACATTAAAAAAAAAAAAAGTTTTTAGAAGGCTTGCTCCCAGATATTTACAGACACCCTCAAAGTCAACATCCAAATTATTTATACTTTGAAAAATAGCTCAGAGCATCAAATTTAGGAAATGTCCTGAAGAGACTTTTGAATATTTTAGTCTCTGTTCTAGGAATGGTGGTGGTGGTGGTTATGTGCCATGGAGTCAGTTCCTACTCATAGCCACCCTGTACAGGGTTTCCAAGGCTGTAAATCTTTACGGGAGCAGAAAGCCTCATCTTTCTGCTGCAGAACAGCTGGTAGTTTCAAACTGCTGACCCTGAGGATAGCAGCCTGATTCGTAACTACTATGCTACTTGTTCTAGGAATAAGCTCTCTAAATCCATTTACCAGGAGAAGAATGACTGTAATTTGAGAAACCAGAAGTTAATACCAGCTTTCTCTTATTGCAAGAAAGCTTGTTTGTTATAAAAAATAATATGAAGTCTGACTGAAGGATATTATGAGTGATCATTCTTTTATTTACTACATAGGCCATGTTGGTTCCCCAATGCCTTGCAATTATGTAAAACTTGCTGACGTGGAAGAAATGAATTACATGGCTGCCAAGGGCGAGGGTGAGGTGAGTGGAATCCTGTCAGTCATTCATCCTTCATGCCCTTTCCTGTAATAACCAGCCAGTAGGAATGTAGGGCCGTTTCCCAACACAGGGTCATATAAAGTTACTGAAGTTGATGTTATAGGTGATCTGGAGTTGAGCAGGCTTCTTTGTGAAGAAGGTACTTTTAAGTTTAACCCTCAAGAACAGTGACGCCTGCCTTTTGCCAGGCATGATAGGGACATGGGTCCAAGAGTACACTGAGGCTCCAGTGGTCACAGTCCTCAGGGTACATCTCTGTCTGCTATTTGTCCAGGATGCCTATTAGTGAGCTTCTGGCTACTAATGGTAATCATAATTACTTATAAATAATTTCAACCCCTTTGGGGCTTTCTAACAACGCTGAGCCAGGACTTGGGCAAACATTAGCCATACAAGTTGACTGCAGTTGGAGTGCTTGAGAAATGGGCAGGAGGGGGGAGGTCCCAGTGGGGTCTGATAGTGCACAAACACACACACCCATATTTTTTCTTTCAGAAAACCCCAGTAAATTCTATTGATAGATTTTCTCTTTTCTCTTTAGGTGTGTGTGAAAGGGCCAAATGTATTTCAGGGCTACTTGAAGGACCCAGCAAAAACAGCCGAAGCTCTGGATAAAGATGGCTGGTTGCACACAGGGGACATTGGAAAATGGTTACCAGTGAGTTGCCACCTCCCCTGTTCATGAATAGTTTTGTTCCCACTGAAAGGAAGAAAGTGCTCTGGTTGCTGTACAGCTGCCATGTGTCACCTGACTTTTCTCTTTCTCCATGTCCTCGGTGAGGAGTATGCTGTTTCTTCTCCTGTGGTGAACAGACTTGCTCTCTTAGACTACTGCTACTTTTATCTGTAGCAAATATGTTTTGTTTTGATACATTCTTTTTGGAATTCTTGTTGCTGCTTTCTGATGGAAATCAAAAGAAATTACAGCTTGTTACAATATAGATGCTGACTTAAATGTGGATGCATTGGTTAAACAAGGCCGTTGGAAATTAGTGATAGCTTTCCTTGGGTGTATGAATAGCAAGAATTTGTGAATAAGTGTGATTCTCATGTTTGTCATCTCATTAAAAATAAGAGTGTTTCATAGATTAAACCAACTCTTAGGAATTTACTTTCAGAACCATTTACTCTAGAGAAATTCCAAAAGAGAGTTTAGGAGTAAGAAGCTCATGGAAGAAGTCTTATTTGTCGTGTTCATATGTTTGACCAATTCTTTTAGCTATGGTAACAAGCACAGCAATTTCTAAACTCTTGTTGTTAGGCGCTGTTGAGTTCGATCACACATGATCGAAGCACTGACCAGTCTTGCATCAGCTGTACAGTCATTGCCATGTTTACATCCATCGTTGCAGTCCCTGTGCCAATCCATCTCATTGAGAGTCTTCCTCTTTTTCACTGATCCTTTACCAAGCCTGATGTCCTTTTCCAGGGACTGGTCCCTCCTGATAACATAGCCAAAGTATGAGAGACTTAGTCTCACCCTCCTGCTTCTGGGTATACTTCTTCCAAGACAGATTTGCTCATACTACTGGCATTCTATGATACGTTTAATATTCTTCACCAGCTACATAACTCAAAGATATCAATTCTTCCTCCGGTCTTATTTATTATCCAGCTTTTGCATTGCATATATGAGGCAACTGAAAAAACTATGGCTTGGGTCAGGTGTACCTTAGTCCTCAAAGTGATATTTTTGCTTCTTAATACTTTGAAGTGTTCTTTGGCAGCATATTTACCCAAAGAAATACATCATTTGACTTCTTGACTTCTGCTTCCATGGGCATTGATTGTGGATTCAAATAAAATGAAGTTCTTGACAATTTCAGTCTTTTCTCCATTTATCATGATGCTGCTTATTGCCCCAGTTGTGAGGATTTTTTTCTTTTTCTTCTTTATATTGAGATGCAATCCATGCTGAAGGCTGTAGTCTACTTTAATTTTTCATTTTCCAGAAAGTAAGATTGTATCACCTGCATATCGCAAGTTGTTAATGAGTCTTCATTGTATCCTGATGCTACGCTCTTCTCAGATTATCCATGTTCAGTTTCTCAGATTATTTGCTCAGCATACAGATTGAATATGTATGGCAAAATAATATGACCCTGACACTCACCTTTCCTGATTTTAAACCACACAGTAGCCCTTGTTCTCTTTGAACAAACACTCCTATTTCTAAACCATTATGTTTAATTGCAAGCACTAAAATGGCTCATTTTTTTATGTGTATGATCCAATTATTATACCTATAAGGTGGTTGATACTCTTGAATTTTTATTGATAAGAAAAGTGCTCCTAAAATGAACTCATATTACAGAATAACCAAGCCATGTAGGAAAAAAAAATTAAGACTCTCTTTTCAGGTTTAAGAGGGATTACATATGAATTTTAATTTTTGCTCTGATGAACATATCTCATGACCTCTTTGGACCTCAGTTTGCTCCTTTTTAAAATAGAGAAGTGATGTGGGATGTGAGTGCTCTAGAATCTTCCTGGCAGATGACATCTGGAGGCATGATAATGGCCCCAGGGTGGGGACGGGTGAAAATATGGGTTGAGGCTGATTCCCATCCTGGCAGGGGTGATGGTAGATACTACTGGTTCAAGAATGCTAAAAGTCCAGCAGTTATGTGGGGTGGCCCTTTGTGCTATAACTCATCCTGCCCAAAGAGCCAGGAGCACCCTCCTCCCCCACACCCTGGAAACGAAGATTGAGGAAATCGAAATCCTGCTTGTGTATTGTTACATTTTATTGAGTGTTTATGCTATGCAGCAAACAGAAGGAATGAGTAGCACTATGCATGCCCTGCTCTGAAGGAACTTGGCTCATATATATGCATCCTAACTCAGTATGAAACTAAATGAAAGGGCGCGCTAAAATTAAGGCAGCAGACAAGTCACTGGTGCCAACTGGTGAAGTGAAGTGAGCCTGGACTCTGGTTCCCTGTCTCTCCCTGTGCTTGACTGAATGGCCCTGGGCAAGTTACTCAGTCTCTCTGAACCTTAGTTATCCTTTCTATCCAATGGGTTAACACCTGACACATGATTATTGTTGTTGTTGTTAAGTGCCATCACGTCATTTCTGGCTTATAGCGACCCTGTATAGGGTTTCCAAGGAGCAGATGGTGTGTTTGAACTGCCAACCCTGTGGTTAGGAGTCCAATGCTGACCCTGCAGAGCCACATACATGATAGAGCATGTAAAAACCTTGTCCTGCACGTGATTGATGCTGGCTAGCAGCCTAGGCTATACCCCTCACAGCCCTTTCCCTTCTCATGAACAGAATGGCACCTTGAAGATTATCGACAGGAAAAAGCATATATTTAAACTGGCTCAAGGAGAATACATAGCCCCCGAAAAAATTGAAAATATCTATGTGCGAAGTGAACCTGTTGCCCAGGTGTTTGTCCATGGAGAAAGCTTGCAGGTAAGTGCTATCTGAGGTAGCAGAGGCCTTGCTGAAGCCATGGACTCCTGGGGCTTTTAATATGATTGAAGCTGGAGACTAGTATGATTTCACTCATGTCCGACATGCTAGACATGAGTGAAATCATCACTGATGCATTATCAGTTTTCGTTGCTTGATATTGTTTACTAAGAAAACATTTTTCTCTTTAATTTCTTTCTTTCTTTCTCTCTTTTTTTTTTTTTTTAAACCTATTGTGTCCTAGTGTACCAAGGGAAGTAGGGTGTCAGGGAGGAGGAGAGTAATGTATGTTTTTAATTATGAAGAAAATATTGATATTGGGATTATAAAAATTTAGACTTTTTAAACATATTAAATCCTGCTTATTTATTATTTGTTTCCTAAATTATTTATTACCAAAGTGTAGTTGCAAGCCAAAATATTCTCAAAGTCAAAACTAGATATTACAGTAAAAATGCCTGTTTATCAAAATGTTGGGCAGATAGTTACAAGGAAGAAAAGGTAGGTTGGGTCCCTGAAAGTAAATCTTTTTCCATATCTTATGGAAAATTATATTTTATTGTCTTAGACAAGAATGCACCTAGTTTCTTTTCTTAGAGTGTACCTTTTTTTCTTTGACTAGAATCTTGCCATGTTTTTTATTTTCACTCAGTTTTATTGTTTATTGTATTATAAAGGATAAGGCATTAGAGTTTTGGGTTGTTTGTTTCAGTTAATCTCTATGTACTTCCCTTATCTTTCTTTCAAATATTTGCTTAGATGTCTATCACTTTATTTGCTTAGTTGGCCTGATTTTTTGTTTAAGTATACATATAAGTAAAAATCAGGCTTTTTGTTAGCTTTTGGTGTCCAGTGGTTCTTTTTTTTTTTCCCCCAGTGGTTCTTTTAAAGCATTTGCTGTAGGGATACTGATGCCATCCCTACATTAGTGCCAGAACCTTTTAAGCTGGGTTTGGTGAGCTCCCAGGGAGGAGGATATGTTCTGAAAAGAGGGCCATACTTCCACTAGGTTCCTCCAAGGACTCATGATGCCAAGATAATGAAGAACCCAAAGCTATGTACTAACTTCCTTGTCTGTTTTAAAGTCGTTTCTCGTAGCCATTGTGGTACCAGATGCTGAGTCGTTATGTCCCTGGGCCCGAAAGAGAGGATTTGAAGGATCCTTTGAAGAACTGTGCAGAAATAAGGTACAGTTCTGAAGTGTGCAGTCTGTCTTCTTGATCTCAACTTGGTATTAAATGTACCTGTGAATGTCCAGGTCCCACCAACAAAGGACATCTTTTGTTTTGCTACCTTACTAGGATATCAAAAAAGCTATTCTAGAAGACATGGTGGGACTTGGGAAGGATTCTGGTCTGAAACCATTTGAACAGGTAAGTCTTTCATCAAAGTGCATGGATTCCTATAAGCAAATGTTTGACTTGAAGATTTTTTTAATAAATTGTACTAAAGGATGAGATAACCTAAAGGAATGCATGATGAGGACTCAATGGTGGGCTGTTCAGCAGGGGAGAGGACTTCTAATCAGGGTATAAATTCTCTTTTTGGGGAGGTCAAGATAAAATCCTGAGTTCTGTCCTAGGAATGGATTACCTGCCTTTGTGGAGAGTGTTCATGTGCAGCATGGTCTGGGGTGAGAGGTGGATTGGCCCACCCATAAGGGTCTTTATAGCTTTCGGTGTCTTATGTGCTTTCTAACCTGTCGTATTGGTGCAGTGGTAACGTGCTGAGCTGCAAACCGAAAGATCTGCCAGAAGCAGATTTCCAGGTTCAGACCCACCAGCAGCTCCACAGGAGAGAAGACCTGGTCATCTGCTCCTGTAAGGCTCGCCTCCTAGGAAATGCCCTGGGGCAGTTCTACTCCATCCTATAGGGTTGCCTTGAGTTGGAATCAACTTATCGCACACAACCACAACATGTGCTTGCTAGACTCAGGTGGCGTCATTCCTCCTTTAATAACCTTGTGTTTTTGCAGATCAAAGGCATTGCCCTACACCTTGAATTATTTTCTGTCGACAATGGCCTCTTGACTCCAACAATGAAGGCTAAAAGAGCAGAGTTACGGAGTTATTTCAGGTCTCAGATAGAGGAACTCTATTCTACCATCAAGGTCTAATGCGATGAAGAGTGCTTGGAAAAAATAAAAGTAAAACAAAACCGCACACCTCCACAATCTTTTCTTCTACTGATGGCCTTTGGTTGGTAATTTTGATTTCAGCAAGCATAGGGAAGGAAACAATGTTTGACTTGTCCACTCGGGGTTCTTGCTATAGAACTATTAGAGGAAATGGAACACTGCCTTACCCTCGCCTCGTGTTGCAGACTACGTTTATAGTGATAAACCATTTCCAAAATGAGCCTTAAAAATGTAAAGGGTAAACTATAAATGTACTAAGTTATTTGAGACTTCCTCGATTTAAAAGGTGGGTGTTAAAACTTCTGTCTCTCTGTTTTTCTAACCAAGGGGTTAGGACTTTGCTATTTCTGAGATTTCTGCAGTTGTCTGCTGTTCTAAAGAGTACAGTGCACTGGAGGGAAACCGTGCTTTAAACAAGAACAATTGTCCAGGCTGGAGAATGTCAAAGTGGACCAGAGTTTTGTCGTTTTGGTTTTTGTTTTAAATTCCGGCTCGCTTCCCTTTCCCCATCTCACACACACACACTCGCACATCCCTTCTGATTAAGGGTTGTGAGATCGTGTTAGTCTCTTAACAGCCCCTTCTTGTTCCTGTTGGAGCATAAAGTTCACAGGATACAGAAGGACAGAGCCAACTCAGAACTGTGCAGATGTTGAGTCTCAGATGGATGGACGCTCCCAGAGCGAATGGATTCGTGCTCACACAAAGCAGATGCTCTCGGACCCTGTTCTCTAGGCCTGGTTCCCTCCCTCATCCCTTCTTCCCAGGGGTTATTGAAAAATCTGCCTTAGACTCTACAGTGAAGACAAGCATTTCAAGAAGGAAATAATAACCTGAATAAACCTTGCTCAACTGTGACGCCTGAATACCTGTCCATTTTATCTTCACTGCACCACTCTTTGTTTGTAATACGGTTCTCTTACCAAAAAGGATTGTGCTGTGATTAACTTGCTTTTTCCCCCTCCAAAATAAACTCTCAGGCAAAGCATGTCTTTCAAAATATTAAGGGAGTAGATTTTGGGGGGGAGGGGGGAGGATACTTATTGAAATGAGCAGTAATAAGCAAATGTTCTTAATACCTTAATGCTACCTGATTTCTATGCTATGTATTTGACAAGCCAAAATTCTAGGATGTAGAAATCTGGAAAATATCATTTCCTGGGATTAACTTCTCAAGGGATTTTTTTTTTTTTTTTTCAAGTTAATTTGGGAAGTTAGCAGCATTTTCATTTTACTGCAAGCCATTGTCACATTTGACTGAATTGTCATTTTATACATTTAAAATAGTTGTTTTGGGAAATGTGAGTGTACATGTATTTATTAATCAAGCACAACAGGGTTTGCAGTAGAGAATTGTTGTAATAACACTATTTGGTAGCCTAACTTCATATGTGTATTCTTAATTGCACAAAAAGTCAGTAATTTGTCACATTGGGGTTTTGAATGTTTGCTTTAAGTGTTGGCTATTTCTATGTTTTATAAACCAAAACAGAATTTCCAAAAACAATGAAGGAAACCAAAATAAATGTTTCTGCATTTCACGTGAGTGCAGCATCTCTTTTACTGTTCTGTTGAATGTTTGGACAGCCTGTGACACACATGCTCAGAGATTAAGAAGGGTCCACAAGCCCAGCTTCTCTGAAACTTCACAGCCTCTGACCAGGCAGTCTCGGCAAAAGGCTTTACGTATTGTGAAGAAGAACATCATGACATGAAAAATGTGTTGTTGTTAAATGCCATCAAGTCAGTTCCAACTCATAACAACCTCGTATAGGGTTTCTGAGGAACAGTTGGTGGGTTTGAACCTCTGACTTTGTGGTCCAGTCCATTATCCTATAGTCCCTCACCAGGCAACAGGGGATACAGGCAATCCCTGGGTTGTGATCAAGATCTCTTCGTCATTCTGTCTTTAAGGTGAATTGAAACAGGTGCATAGTGTTCTCATTCAGTCTTACTTTAGTGCAGGAAAAGGTGCAAAGCCTAGTCAGTAATTCAAAACTGCACACACAGCAAGTGAAGGTGATTGTGATGAAGAATTTTTTGAGGGAGTAGGGGTTGGTTCAGTCATTTCAAAGTAAAGGCAAGTAGGATTTGTCAGATGCTAGTGACTCAGGACTGCTTGTATTCTTGAAAATGCAAATTCTTTGCTAGAGAGCTGTATTCCTCAGAAGATACTGACTGCTGTTAGTTCTGTCATAAATGTAATTCTGCTGTGTTTTACAGAGTCTCATCATAGAACTGTTTTTAAAAAGGTCCCATTTATAGCAGCAAGCCTTTTCCTTTCTTCGACCTCTGTATTTAATATTTAGAATGCTTTCTTTCCCATTGGTTGTAGCTAATCCACTGTAAAAATGGCATGGTGGCAGTGTCGGTGGACCACCTGCATGAACTTCACAAGGAGAGGAATCGTTAACCAAGGCTGATTCCTACAAAGTGGAGGTCAGACACAGCTCCTCTCACCCACCTTTTCACCAGTTTGGACACTCGCTCTCCTTCTGTGCTGTGTTCACTAACTCGTTACAATGATCACACATGTAATCCATGAGTGTGGGACTTATTAGGGAAGTAACAGGTTATAATTCAGGATCAGGAATGATTTAGTATACAGTCAGGACACAGGCAGCCTTCTCCCTGACTCTTGGCCTGTTAGGTTTTTGGAGGCTAGCTAGACTCTTTCTCTAGCTCCACCAAATTCCTGGAGGCACTCCACTCTGCCAGCAAATCTGCTGCCCTAAGGCCCTCAGCTTTCTCACCCAGTAGACCATGATGCCCACAGTGTTCCTGACAGACTCCTGGGTTTGTTGCTGCTGCTGCTGCTGCCTGTCTCTGCAGTTACCACTCTGTCTCTGTGTTTCTTAGTGCAGGGATCCTGGTTCTAACGGACGTGTTCCACTCCTCGCTCTTCCCTCTCTCTGGTAGCAAAGCTCCCTACTGTCTATTACTGGGATGGCTCATCTTAAGCCTAGGGGGATGGCAAAACCAACCCAATCCCCTCATTAGGATTCTGTATACCTTATTTGCATGGCCTCACTGCCATAAGAGTACCATAGTCCTTATTTGCATATCAGCAAGCTGTCCAATCCCCTTGGTCGGCCACAAACACCTGGTTTGCATAGTCCTACCCAGTGGTTTGTTGGGAGTTAGAGGACTGTGGTGAAAAGGTTGTATAAAGGCGTTCCCTCACACACACCGCAGCCGTCCTGAGTTTTTCACATGGCCTGTTGTGGTTACAGCAGTCTACCTCCAGCCTCCCTTAAAAGTTATCCTTGGGTGATGATGTTTGCTTTTCTCCTGACAGAAATCAAGCCCTCTGCCCTTTTCTATTCATCGTGGAGAGATTTGTCTCACCTTCCTCCTCCTCTCTTTCCTTAACTGGAATGTAAGCTCCATTGAGGGTGGGCATTATTTTTTTTTTCTCTCTCTCCCATACCACACACAGACAAGACTTAGAAACTAGCAGGTGTTCCACTAAAGGAATCGTTAGTGAACAAATACTTGAACTTTTGAACAAAGGAATTTCTTGGAATGAGGTCGATAAGCAGCATTTTTGCTTTTACCTTGCTCGGTGCACAGTGGGATCAGAACCTGCTGAGCGACACTCAGTCTACCATGGCACTCAGCAGCACAGTCCAAACAGAAAAGAAGAAATCTGATAAACTCTTAAGATGGTTGTCTGTGTGACTTGTGAGACAATCCTTTCTCCCATCAGGCCCTGGCATGGTAAACTCCTCGGTAACTCCCATGAGCATTGCAAGAGCCTGAGGTAGGAGGCTGCTATGGGAAACAGGAAGTGAACACTGGCAGCCCTTCAACCTCTAGAGCTCCACTCGGCCCCTCCTGCCAGGCCCCAACAATGACACACCCTCATTCTATATCTAAACTTGGGAAAGCAGCTTGTTTTAAAGTCTGTTGGGTATTTAGTTGTTGTTAAGTGCCGTTGAGTCGATTCCAACCCATAGTGACCCTGTATAGAGTTTCCAGGAAGCAGCTGGTAAGCTTGAACCACCGACCTTGCAGTTCAAACGACTTTGCAGTCTGACGCATGAGTCCACAGCACCACACCAGGACTAGTTTAAGTTTTTTTGTCCCAACCCCTCTTTACTAGGAATAATAACGCACATGCATGTGAGTGTTGCCACAAGCCAGACACTGTTCTAAGCATTTTATATTGATTGATCCATTTTATGTTCATAACTCTTCTGATTCCAAATAGGAGCCCTGGTGCACTGTGGTTAAAGCACTCCACTGCTAACCAAAAGGTTGGTGGTTTGAACCCACCAGCTGCTCTGCAGGAGACCAAAGTGGCAGTCTCCCTCTGTAAAGAGTACAGCCTTGCATAGCAAAGTCCACAAAGACACTGTTGTACATCCTCCTTTGGTGAGTAGTGACAGGGATCTTAAAAGCTCATGAGTGGCTATCTAAAGTGTACCAACTGGTCTCTCTGGAGGTAAGAAGAGTCATAAAAATTGAACATGCTTGGAATCAAGTAGGCCACATTAACATCAGTCCTCTACAACCCTGACTTCAGAAGAACTAGAAGATGCCCAGCTACCACAACGAACTGCTCTGAAAGGTATCGCATTGTTAGGTCCTGGATGGAGTGGGAGAAAATGGAAGAAAACTCAGAATCATAAAAGAGATCAGGCTTACTGATCACACAGAGATTGGTAGAATCCTGAGACAGTGGGCCTTGATTATCCTTCAGGTCTAGGACTGAATTCATCTTGGTGGCTCAGTTTTCAGCCACCAACAACACTAGTGAACACCATAGAAGCATCAGCCATTTGAGATCAAAAGGGCAGCATTGACCCAAGGACAAGGTTCCGAAGGGCTGGAAGTGAAGGAATGGAAACAAGAAACGCAGGGAGGAAGTAGGATAAATGATGTTACATCTAGGGGATTGCAATCACTGAGATGAACCAAAGTGTATGTAAATCTGCTCCAAACCTTCATTCAATTCTCAATAAAAAGCTTTAAAAATAAAACATTACAACTTTGGAAAGCCTATGGGAGCAGCTCTACTCTGTCCTATAATGTGGCAATTTGGTAGAAATGGGTATTATTTGGTCAGTATCAGACACCTAGTGTGGCACTGTGGGTTAATGCGCCAGACTGCAAAGCCGCTTGAACTGCAAGGTTGGCAGTTCAAGCTCACCAGCTGCTCCTCAGAAACCCTATACAGGGTTGCTATGTATGGGTTGGAACCGACTCAGTGGCACTTCACAACAACAACATCAGACACCTGGACAAAATTGAACCCCAGATTCATGTTGTGTTTTGCTGTGCCTCCCTGTCTACTGTTGGCAAAGAAGTTTCTGGCAAACGTTTTCATTGGACTGTTTCTTTAAGCCAGCAATTTTGCTTCCAAGCTTCAGTACTGGTTTTGATGATTGCATAGAGATTCTTCTCTGACAAAATAGGGGCAAATACCACTTCACCAATTTT